ATAAGCTTGGGAGTCATGGGTTCTCTTCTGGCTTTGTGATCCTGGGTGAGAAACTTAAGCTCCTGGTCTTTTTCTTTTAACCTATGAAAAGATTTTTTATAATTTATACAGTCTCTCTTAACTCAAATATTCTATAATTCCAGTCATTCTACTAGACTAGGGCTTCTCAATGTCAGAATCACTTGGGTTGTGTGTTACAAAGGTAGACTCCCAAGCCCCATTCAGGCCTCTGGCTCAGTATCTCTGCAAGTGTGGCTAGGGAATCTACCTTTTAACATACTCTTGGGTGATTTTTTTTTTTTAATGCAAGTTTGTGAGAGTTTTTTTTTTTAAATGCAAGTTTGTAAAATGCAAGTTTAACGCAAGTTGTGTGCGTCTATCTCATTCACTCACATATCCCAAAACTCCACCTAACGCAGCACAGAGATAGGGTGCTCAATAACTATTTCTTGATGGGTGAATAAGTGAATAAGTAAATGGTACAGTCACGGAAATGTGGATATCTTGCTTTAACTAAGGCAGAAGAAGAAGAGGGCTGCTGCCTCACTATGGTCTATGGTGCTTCCTTCCTCTTTGGGGCTGAATTCTCCATTTATAAAATATGGTGGTTGGACGAAGTGACTCATATGATTTCTCCCTGCCTTAATAATCCACAGCACCATGAATCTATAATATGGATAGCACCATGAATCAATGCTTTCTGTTTCCCTTCACCTTCCTCTTTGACATATGAGAAAGAATCAAGGTGAAAATCAGCCACAACCCAGAGATTTGTTGTGAGTTTTAATAGGAGGGGTGGAGTCAAACAGTTTAGAGGAACGTATAAAAAGACCTTTTACTTTTTGCTGGAACATGATATGGTTTGTGCATAGCACATACATATTAAAAAATAGAAGCATCACATTTTACAAGCACATGACTGAACAAATTCTGAGTTTTTCTACTCACTTGACCCAAACTTCAGGACAGCTCTGCACTGGGACCCAGCCTGAGGTACTTATTGATTTATAGAAAGGGGAAACCACGTGAGGACACAGCTGTCTGAGTGCTGGAATTTTGGTAGTTCAATGAGGTATACAAACATGGTTCTGTGTTGGCTTTCGGCATGATGGACTAGATTCAGGATCTGTTTTGGGCATAATCACTCCCTCCTCCCATTCTGGGAAGAGGAAACATGAACTCAGGTGTAAGCACAGAATGGAGTATTTCTATCTACTCTTCTGGCTTTGTCTCAAACATTCTGGGAGGTAGCAGAATGAGTAGACATTCCAGGCCTAGTGGAGGGGTGAGAGGCAGATTTGAGAGACCCACTTCCTAGACGCGAAAGTGGCAAGGGGCAGAGAGTCCTTCCTCAGTGACATCTGACCCAGAGCCTTTGGGGACAGAAAGTTATAGGAGCTTTCTAGCTTCTTTCCACATGAAAAGCAGCAGAAGTGGATAGACAGGAGAGAAAATATCCCCATGTCTTAGGGGCCAGCAACCACTTTTGGCAGATATGTTTGCACCAGTGGCCGTGGCACATAATGGGAAAGGGCAGTAAACCTACAATGCTGGGAGGAAGGAGAACTACAGCTTGTGGACTTTTATACATCTTTCTCTCTTAGGATTCTACAGAATGATAACTTGGAGGCTCTGACGTCTAGGACAAGAAAGGGGTCCAGCGCCATCATGAGAAGAATTCCAAGCTTCCCAGCATAGGACTAGGTCAGGAGAGAATTTCGGCCTGGGTCACCGGCCTGGGAAGATCCTATATGTCTAAAAAAGGAGAGAGGTTTGTAGCCTGGATCAGAAGACAGGAGAAAATACTCTCTTTCCTGAGCCATAGAATGGCCCTGGCCAGGGGCTTGGAGTGCGTGCCCTGGACGTGTTGTGGGACAGGGGGAAGGCTATGAAAGATAATGGTAAGGTATCAATTACAGCATTATACTCTGCCTTCCAAAGGAGGTTCAATAGTGCAGGCAAGTGGGAAAGGAAGGTGTTAGAAGGCAGCAAATGATGGAGTGAACACAATCAAAAGCTTCAATGGGGGCAGTTGGGGTTTTCTGGTTTCCTCTGAGGTCCACCCATTATCCTTAGGAGAGTGCAGGTTCTACAGGGGGCCTGGAGGTCCCCTGTGGTTTCTGAGCTCACCTCTCCCCAGCTGAGAAGTTCATCTCCAAGGATGTGCTCATATGTTGCTCTCATTTTTATCGTTTGCTCTTGAAGAAGGAATAAGGCAGCATCTGGGTTCTTGGAGGCCCAAGTTTACATGGCTCCAGAGAAGGTTCAGGATAGGAGAGAAGCCAATGACTACAAAAATCTATAAACCAGGGTCACAGCTCAGGATCTGCAGGAGAGAGGACCCAAGCTGTTCGTAGCACATGGCAGCAGGAAGCGGAGGATTGTTCTTTCCCCTGCCTATGCAATGTCTGCTGCAGCCTCAACAGGGCTGAGAGCTCAGTCCAGAACTCAGTAGACATGGTGATCAGACAGGAGACAACTCTGATCCCCTGTGCACAGACACAGCAGCAGCAGCAGGAGCTGATCGTCTTCTGTTCCTGCCCCTTAACCCACTTCTGTGGTTGGAGAGTGACTTGTCATAAGCCTAAGCCACTTAGAGGTCAGAGAGAAAGCTCTTGGGAGAGAACTCCTCTGGATAGGAAGCATTTTAGAGTCAACAATGCATCACCACATCCAGTAATATATTCAGAACGTTCAGCAACTGGTACAGCATAGGTCCTGGTACCAGTTAGAAAAGATGCCCTGCTGCTAGGAACTGATTCCAGTCATAGGCAATGGGTGTACTGGTGCCTTGGCGTAGTGACTGCATAGCAAGCCTGGCTGGTCCTAGGCATGTCCTAGCTTCTCCTTTTCACTCTTAGCATGAGATATGGAAGTGGACATTTGGGCGGACCCCTTGTCAGTGTTTGAGCACTTTTATGAGCCTCCAGAGAGGTGCAGGAAAGGTCTAGCAGTCTGAGGCCTTGAGATTCTCTTTAGAAATGTGTCCCCTCTCATGCCAAGTTGGCTCAGATTGAGGAAGAAAGGAACGAATGCTTTGGGACCTAGAACTTTCCTCCCTACCAGATCACTGTCCGTCCATCCTCCCAGCCTTTCTGCACTCCTGGCACCTTCCATTGGGTACGGATACGTGCCTCAGGTTCTGAGTGCATCAGTTTCTGATGTACCCTGTCAAAGAGACCAGTAAATTACTCTGGACAAGATAATCAGCCTTGTCCTCTGCCTCCAAGCAGACCTGTACTTCAAATATTCCAAATGGTCAAGATGGACCAATTTTCTCCCCCTTCCACTTGACCCAAGACCCCAGCTCCTTCCAGTTTCTTCCAAGGCTTGGTCATGTCCACTCTTGCTCCTGAGTTCTTACTGTCTGCGCAATCTTTGCTCACGTTGGTGTGGACTTCCCTCCTCATCCAGCACATGTCCTCCCTGATGTGTGCCCGACAGAGAGGTAGCCAGTATGATGCCTCTGTTGGGTAGCCAACCTCCATGTGCAGCTCACAGTAGCTCAGCTCAGATCTATCTATAGATGGCTGCATCTGCAAATAGAGAGGTATGTCGAAGATGAAGGAAGGTATTTGCAGCAGATGAGGGGTTGTCTTGCAGGCACGGGCCCCTGAGAGTAGCAGAGGGTGTCAGGTCATTTTGTAACTTGATGGTTCACGTATGCCGAAAATATTTGCACTCTGATATGGCTCTCTCTGGTTTCAGATTTAGGAACATTCCAATGGTTCAGGAATCTGAAGGCTCCAAGCAGACAACATTTATAGTCACTTGGGGGAACCTCTGCTTTAAATACTCTCAAAGGACAGGAGGCAAGAAGGCATTGTACAGCAAAGAGCTGTTTCAGCTTGGCTGCTTGATTTCACAGGATTATCACTCTTCTCTTACTGTAGGGGGGCCAGAGGGGGCAAAGTCTGGAGGTCATGGTGCCCATTCTACTGCATCCAGGCAACAGTGTGTATGTGAGATGAGGATGACCAAGAAGGAAGTGAGAGTATCAGATGAGGACTTGGGTGAGTTTCCCGGACGTAGCAGGAGAGGAATTATCATCTGCAGTCCAAAGCCTCTCTACTTCCTTCAGCCCTATTTTGCACCCCCTCACCCCTTGCCAAAGAGGTTGCCATTATTAGGATCCTTGTCATCTGAGGTTAAAATAAGACCCAGTTCAAAGTAAGGAAAAGTTATGGGCAGGGAGCCTGGCCCGGCTTGTTCTTGGAGTCGCACACAGCACTGAATCCTCCAGGCTGAATGGCACTCCATAGAACATCCAGTCCCTTCGGCTGCTTCCAGCAGGCCTTCCCCAACTGCCCGAGACACAGCTGTACCCCATTTCTTCAAGAAGAGGATCCCTTCTCCCCCAACTCCCCTGACAGGGCAGCCCAATGTCCCCGGAGCCCCCAGAGGCAGGAAGTTTGGAGCCTGCGCACTTTCTTTCTGGTTTGCAGATAAACCCTACTGCCTCCCACCCTGCCCTCTACGCTTAGAAGACAGCTGCTCCCACTGCCTGTGCAAGCCATGTGTGCACTCAAGTCGCCTCTGAACGGAAGGATGATTGGAAAGAGGCAGAATGGGAGTACACATCAATCCTGCTGGTCTGACAAATGATACTCTTGCAGGCAGATTCCTGCTGCAGTGATACCGGAGAAAGAAACCTGATGCTCTGCAATGCCTTCGCTCAGACCACCTACACAAGGATGTATAGGTATACATCAGAACACACACATACCGCCACCCTGACCTTTCCCTGTGCACATGGTCATATGCCACATGTACCTTCTTTCCTCAGTTGAGGTCAGAGCATGTATCCATTGCCATTCTAGGATGTTGGTTGCAACCCCTCTCTTGGGTTAGTTACATACCATAGGGTCTGGTGTGCCTTCTCCCCAAGCACAGGAGAAGCCTGACTCAGGAGTCATGGGGGGCAAGGGGAATTGTTCATTTGTGCAAAATTCCAATACAGAAGATGTTGCTTTCAATCTGCAAGCCTCCTTTCAGGGTCCTTATATCCTGGGAAGGAAGTGAGTGACAGTCATGATTGGGGACACCTTGCTGCCCCGCTTTACCCGTCCGTATTTGCTCAGTGCGATGTAGGTCCCTCGGTACAGGTCTGACTCATAGGCATTGTAATTGTTGGGCAGAAGGGTTTCTCTGAACTTGCATTCCTCTTGGAAGCTGGGCTGTCAAAGAAATGGACAAACAACAGAGGCTCAATTATAAATGAGGTGTAGCAGGCCCCCTACTGGGTGCACCTCACCTCCCCTCTGTAAGACAACCAGCAGGGAATCTGAGCCATTCTAGGTGAACCGAGTCATGGAAGGTCAGAAAAGAAGAGACTTCTGAGCCCTGTTGGACCCTTCTCACATTCCCTCCTTTAGGATGAAATCAAGGTTCAGGGACATGGATAGATGGTCTGTGTCACATGGCGTGGGTCTCCTGACTTTCAGTTCAGGGCGCTCTCCACTAAGCACCTAGCTGATAATTTATTCCCTTCAGAAAAGGATACAATAGGCTGTTTTCTCAAGTCCACTGTGAGAGGTGGTCTAGTGGAGCAGGATTGGGAGCCCGGCTCCACTTAGTGGCTTCTCTGCGTCCTAGTTGTGTGACCTTGGGCAGGCTCCTCCCTTTCAGCCTTTGTTCCCTTTCATGCAAGCTGTGTGCTGGGGGTGCAGATGAGGAGCAGTTAGCAGAAGGTTGGAGACAGATGACTCTCTAAGTCCTTTCCAATGCTGTCTGTTGACTATGTTAACCCTTTCTTCTTTTCATGGGTGTCCCCTCACTCTGTCTTTCCCAGCTTATGCTCTAGGTTTTCTACCCCTTAAAGAGGTTTATTCTTGGTTTTGACTTTGAGCTCAGAAGATGCCCGGTGCCTCCTAGACATTCACAGCTCTCCAGGGAAGTTCAGGAACAGAGATGGTGAGGAGCAGCCATTTTTATGGGGAAGAGAACCTGGTTCCCTCTGTGGCAGGTGGTGCCGTGGAGTCTGGGGCCAGTGATAAATCAGCCCCTTCAGTGCTAATTTGGTAGAGAAGCGCGTGTGGACCATCTGTTCAGAAAATGAATACTGAACTTCCTGTCACACATCAACAAGTTCATTCCCGCTACCTCACCCATGTCCTCCTTTATTCCTAGAAAAGAGGGCCCTTCCTCCCCAGGCTTTTGGGGCCACTGCTGAGGGAGGCTGGGGAGGTTTCTGTGCTTTGGACAGGGAGCGGCTCTGTGGGGTCTAGAGGAAGAGAGAGCAAGGTGAGAGCCAGGATATCTGGGATCCAGGATCAAAAGAAATACAGAATGAGACAAAAAGAGAGAGGTGGGATGTAATTTCTGACTCCTTCCTGCTGACTGAGGCCATTGGCTATAAAAAGCCCACTCAATGGCTGGCTGGCTGTGCCAGAGGTGTCGTCTGACCTTCTCTGAAGGAATCGTACTATGAGCACCCTGGGCTGGCCGGATGCGGGGGATGGACCAGAGCCTCTTCCTGTTAGGAATGGAGGGTGATGAGCTAGCTCACTGGGCTCCCAGACTCCCACAGCATGTACAAGAGTGTGTGATCCCCAGGGACACCTTCTTCTTTCCCAATAGACTCCAAGTTGCCCAAGACAAGGGTTGTGTCTTGTCAGGTACGTGATGCTGAATGGTTGATGACTTAACAGGAACAACAGCAAGACGGGTGGGTAGCCCTCCTCCCCCCTTAACTTGCCCTTTCGGTGCAGCCTGAGAGTGAGCAAGGGGCAGTGCAGTGTAAAGAGGGAACAGCACACTCTCTTCTTGCCCTTTATCCCTTCCTCCTTTCCGCACTCAGCCCTACACCCCCATTTATTTTTTGTAAGACACTTGCACAAGTGTTAATTTACCTGAGATGAATGTGAAAGCTTTAGCCAGCCACACCAGCTGGCTTCCTAGCGCCACACTAGGGAGCTTGCATTTTCACAAGCTAGCCTTTTTATGAATGCTCAGTATTTGTGGAAGGAATATCCCAAAGGTAGAGAGAATAAGCTAATCAAAGTAGATACAGAGCATATGTGTGCACTAGCTTTGAGGTTACATCGATGATGATTCACCTCTTACTTAGCTCTGTGAACTTGGGCAAGTGATTTAACCTTCCCTCCTTTGATTTAACCTCAGTTCTCTCATCTGTAAAGTGGGGGGCAGTAAGAATAACTATGTCATAGAATTGGAGTGAGCATTAATTGAAATAACATACAGAAAATAGTTGGTATAACATCTGGCACATAGTAAAATAAAAAATAGTGTCAATACTATAATTTTCTATCATTAACTACTTTACATTAAAAGCCCTGAGAGACTGTCTTACCCTGGATCACCATTCCTGCAAAACCTGCTGGGGACGTGTTCGCTTTTAAGCTCTGCAATTGTTGACTGAATGACTCAGAGACCTTGAACTTGTATGAGAAGAGCACAGAACTAGGATACAGAGAGGCTGATGCTCTGGCACTGCTCGTTGGGGTCTCTCTGGACCATGGTTTCTTCACGTGTGCATGGGGTGAAGAGTCAGCCACGGGAGCTAAGATTGTCAGTGAGCAAAGCTCTGGAGCAACAACACTAGGGGAAAACACACTCAGGATTGATTGTAAATTTAACTGAGAAATAAAACTAGACCGATTAAAAGTCTGGTGCAAGGGCACCTGGGTGGCTCAGTCGGTTAAGCGTTGGGCTGTCGATTTTGGCTCAGGTCATGATCTCAGGGTCCTGGGATTGAGCCCCACGTGGGGCTCCACGCTGAGCATGGAGCCCGCTTGGGGTTCTCTCTCTCTCCTTCCCTCTGCCACCGACTCTCTACCCACGCACACATGTGCATCATGTGTTCTGTCTCTCTTTCTTAGGAAAAAAAAAAGATCTGGTGCAGATCGATGAACAAAATACAGAGTCCAGAAGTAGATCCAAATATATGTCAATATAAAATAAAAATGAATCTGAAATTAACATAAAATAAAAGTAGCATTTCAAATCACTAGAGAAAACATGGTGTTGGAACAACTGGATAATATCTAATAATAATAATAATAGTAATAGAGTTTGATTTCTTATTTCATTCCTTACATTACAATAAATTCTACAAGCAGCAAAGATTTAAATGTGAAAAAGAGAGTCTTAAAAGTCCAGAAAAAAAATTGTTTAAATAATCTTGAGTTGGGAAGATCTTTTTGAGCAGGACACAAAAACTAGACACCATAAAAAAAGCAAAACCAATAAATTTGACTTCTGCCTGGAAAAAAAATTGCCTTAAAACAAAAATATAAATAGCAAACTCAGTTAAAAATAGTTGCATAAATAAAAAAAAATAATTGCAGTGTTGGGGCACCTGGGTGGTTCAGACAGTTGAGTGTCCAGGTCTAGCTCAGGTCTTGATCTCAGGGTCATGAGTTCAAGCCCCATGTTGGGCTCCATGCTGGGTGTGAGCTTACTTAAAAAAATAATATTAATAAAAACAATAAAATAAAAAAAATAGTTGCAATGTATATGTGTCAGGGAGCACATTTTGTTATTATATTCAGAACCCTTAACTGAGAAATGGACAGTGTTTATGAACAGACAGTTCACAGAAAAGGAAATACAATTAACATTTGAACATGAGAAAATGTACCTAAAAAGAGAAATCTAAGTCATAATGGTGAGATAACATTTTTAATTGTTTGATTAAAAGAAGTCAGATGTTTGATAATTTTTTTTTTTAAGAGAGAGAGAGAACATGTGAGTGGGGGGGAGGGGCAGAGAGAGAGAGAGAGAATATCAAGCAGGCTGTGTGCTAAGCTTGGAGCCTAATTCAGGGCTCCATCTCACGACCCTGAGACCATGACCCAAGCCAAAATCAAGAGCCCCAGTGTTTAACCAACTGAGCCGCCCAGGCGCCCATTGATGATATTCTTTCTTTGGTGAGGGCATGAAGACTAGGAATTCTCATTTAACATCTGTGAGTGTATATATTGTTATAAGCTCTATACAGAGCAACTTGACAATATCTACTAGAATAAAAAAGGACTAATAATTCTGTTTCTAGGAATTTATCTTACTGGCACACTCCCACACATGTACAAGAGTTACTCACCGCAACATTATCTTTAATAGTAAAAGACTAAAAACAATGAATTGTCTATTAGGAGGGAAGCAGGTAATTCAGTTCCAACAGATTCACACAATTGAATAAGTCACGAACAAATACGGAACCTCCATGTGCACGGACTTGAAATGGTTTCAAAGACATATTGGTAAGTGAAGAGGCAAGCTTCAAAACGGTGTGTAGTGTGCTCTTATTTGTGTGACTTTATAAGGTAACAGCGAGGGCACAATCACAGGGACACAGGTTCTTCCTGGAGCCACACACACGAACCAGTACTATCTTTCTCTGGGGAGGCAGATACTAGCAGCTTCAAGACGACAGTGAGAAGGGGACTAAATTTCCATGGCATATTCTTTTGCGCCTTTCTCCCCACCCCTTATACTGTGTTCACATATTACCTAATCATGTAAGCAGATTATTTAAAGCAGGAAAGGAGTTCAGGATACAAGACGGGCCAGGAAATGGAGCAAGGAAACATTTATATCAGAAACTGGTGGTCCCCCCTTGTCCCGTCCAGCCCCTACCACCCACTGTTTTCCCCTCTGGTCTAACTTATACGTCCCTGGAGAGTAACCTGCCATCAGTTTCCAGAAGAATTCACTTCTGATCTGGACAGTGCTTACGGGACAGGTTTCGAGCGTGGTTTGCAAACTCTAGAGAGGAAATCAAACCCTGGTGCCAGTGTGCGGGGGAGAGGGAGGAGAGGAAGGGAAGGGAGACGAACTGAGTGATTCAGGCAAGAACTCAGGGCATCTGCCCATATCCTCCATGCTAGAATGTGTCCAGTTTAAGAATCCAGCATTTCCTAGCCTCTGGGGCTCCTGAAACATTGTTTAAATTTGCGCAGTGGTGGTTGTAGGCACTGTGCTTTGTTCTCTGCTCGTCCCATTTCGATTATTCCAATTCCCTCTCTTCTAAAAAATGTTTTCCTACTTTCCTTTCTTTCCTTTTGTTTCTTTTTCCCTACCCTTGCTCATATTCCCGGCCTTCACCAGAACTGTGTACAAATCTAAAGTGACACAGGACAAGTGGATGAAGTTTGCTTTCAGAGCCCCCACTTTCCCTGCCCGTCCCTTTCTGCAGGCCGCCGCCTCGTCCTTAGGGTTCAGGTGGCCAGAGGCCAAGACTGTTTCCCTGAACTCTTTGAAGCAGCCAATGCTTCAGGCCAATGGGATTTTCCCGCTGCCCAGACTGATGCCCAACCTGGTATCCAGACCCAGCCCCTTAAACTAGGTCTCCCGCATCCTGAGCCCAGTTCTCATGGCCCCGGAGTGCTGGCTGCTTGGATCTGGTGAGAAAAGCACTCGTGCCAAGTGAACGCTGTGTTAATAAAAGCAGCTACCATATATTATTACTTGAACAAATGAAAATAATTCCACCAGATCACATTTCCTGGGCCGGCCAGGCCTCAGGCCCCAGCGTGACAACGTCTTAAATTCCATGTAGGTCTAATCAGACTTATGTGGAACCAAACTCCAAAACAATCAGCTCTTACCACGGAGAAGGGCATTTTGGAAAGGGGGTTTTGCAGAGGGCTGGTTCAGCGTGTCACCTCTGACGGAAATGCCCCTTATAGCCTGGGGTGGACGAGACATCCATCCTCTTGTCTTCAGGCAGAGCTAAGTCACCCGGACTGCTGGGGGTGGATGCTTGTCTTTAAAGTTCTTCCTCCCAGGGCTGCCCTTGGCCACCTGCCCCTATTACTCCTGGTTGTGAGTGTGCACAGGAAGGGCGGGGGCAGGAGGTATTTAAGGAGGTGGGACATGAGAAAAAAAAGCGGGGGGGCTCTTTTTCCTAAGATCCTTCCTTATGCAGCCGCGGACTACTTCTTTTTCTGTCCTTAGCTGAAATGGAGAAATAACAACTTCCAGCTCTGAAGAGGTCTGTCTATTGCAACTCCCTTTCCTAATACACAATTGCATTGTCAATTTAGAGTGTTTGAAAAGGTTTTCAGCAGGCATATCATTCTTCTCATTCGGGTGTAGCTTTTTGTAGCAGGCAGGCAGTGAGTTGGGGAGAGTTGTCTGCAGGGCTCTCGGTTCTACCCCCCACCCCCCACCCCCCGACCCCCGTCCTTCCCCTTGGAGCTAACATATCTCCTTAGGAATCTGTTCTCTGAGCTTTGCTGCTGAGTGAGGGCATGGCTTGGTCCTCCCCTCTCCCAGAGTAATGCCCGAGAGAATATTCAAAGGCCTTGATGGATGGAACAAATACTGTGTTTTGCACCTTGTCATACTACTATTGATGAAAAGGATGTAGACACAGTTACTATGAGTAAAACTAAAATCACCTCAAAGCATAACTCAATTCCTACTAGCTTGTCAGTATACATTTTTCTCGGCCAAAGGATTCTCATAGAACATTGTCAGGTGGAGATCCTTGATTTTTTTCAATTTTACTGTTAAAACGATGAAGGAGATTGGAATTCACTGATTTCTGCCTCTGGCTACACCCAGGAAGCAGAGGTCCAGGCCCAGAGAAGGTCAGTGATTTTGCCTCAGATGAGAGAGTAGTGGAGGGTAGGTGGGTCAGAGGCTAGAACTCGGGTCCCAGTCTACAGCCCAGGTGCTCCCCCTGTGGGCTTTCTGTGTATTACCTGCAGAACCCTGAGGCAGGTCTGCACACAGCTATGATTGTGCTAACTTAAAGACCCCATGTCCCGTCTGTAAAGGGAGGATAAAGATCACACGCACCTCCCAGGGATGCTGGGGGTAATGCTTTGAAAGCACTCCACAGGGTGCCTGACAAACAGTAGGTGCTCAATATGGGGTGGCTATTTATATTGTCTAAGCCGGGGAGGGGCATCCTGCCATGAGGCTCTGCACCCCTCTTTCCTGGAGGTGAGACATGTAGGAGGCCACTTTTCCTGGGTGGCTTTTCTGGGTTCTTATTATCTGACCATGAGCTGTCCCCTGTCCCCAGCCCCAGCATGGGTCCCCTCCCCCTCCATGAGAAATTTCATTTAGCTCCAGGCTGTAGCAGCTGAGCCGAGGGAGATGAGGCAGCTCTAGGGGCTTAAGGGAAATAGTGTGAATGAAATCATCACCCAGCGGGAGTCTTCCTGGCTCCGGGGATCAGTTGGCAATTGTTTTTTTAGACTGTGATAACAGGCCCCTGAGGGGCAGCAGGAGGGGGTAGAGGTGGTTCAGCAGAATCTGGTGCACAGCCACACAAAGCATCAGTGTCCAAGCCTGGGGCACAGTTCAGCCAGCCACCCTCCTCCAGCCCCGCTCTCGGTACCCTGGCCCTGGGCTCCAAGGAGGACAAGCTCCCATCTCAGACAAGGTGCTCCTGGACATAATGCTTCTAGTGTATGGAAAGGGAGGGTGGAGTGTGCGTAGTGAACAGGTCTTTCCTCAGGACAGACCCCCCTCTTCCCCTGGACTTGTTCATTTAGTGAACCCTCCCTCTCATGGGGCCCACTTGACCTCTTTTGAAGTAATGGGCCCTGGGGGCGGGACCAGGGGTGTCTCCTACATCAAGAGTCAGCCCACACTTCAGGGGTGGCTCCTTCCCTTTCGCTACTCAATGCTTTACCCCTTTGCACTGCTTTCTAAATGTTTTCTCTCTTTCCTTTCCTTTTCTCTTTTTTTCAATGCGGGGCTTGAACCCACGACCCTGAGATCAAGACCTGAGCTGAGATCGAGAGTTGGACACTTAACGGACTAAGCCACCCAGGCTCCCCTGCAGTGCTTTCTCTGATGGTGATTAAAGCTCTGACTTTGGAGTCTCACATAAGTTCTCTTACCAGGGCCACACATTTCAAGTGGGAAGTGGATCAATGTTCCTGTATTTATGCCCTTTCCCTGCCTCAGAGTTGAACATCCTTCTGGGTAAGGAGAAAGCAATACTATGGAAGGGTTTCTGTCATCTAGGCTTCCTTCCTGGAGCTCTACCTGCTAAGTGGTCCCTTGCAGACAGAGTCACAGCCAACAACCCCTGTTCCTGGCTCTCCAATGAGTGGGGTCCCAGCTACTGTGCAGGCTGGTCAGAAGGGGCTTTTTGGGATGACTGACTCCACAGGAAGGAGCCCTGCTGCACCCAAACCTACACTGGTCCCAGGTGGCCTCCCCTCTTCTCCATCACCTTTGTGCAGACTGGTGTCTGAGAAAAAGGGTGTCCAGGAATTCCAAGCCTCATGCTGGATTTCAACTGCCCAACCCTCCCAAGGCCATGTAGCCTGGTGGTCTCCGCACCTGCCTGTGCCTCAGAAACACCAGAGAAGATTCAAAAACAAAAAACAAACCGAGTTTTAGGCCCGCATCCCAGCCCTGCTGAATAAGCATCTCTGATGCAGGTCCCTGAAATCTTTACTTTGAACAGGTTACCAAGATGCCGTGGATGCAGAAGATCCTCTTACATGCCTCACCTCTAGGAAAGAGGGGTGCAGAACCTCATGGCAGGGTGCCTCGCCTCCTTAGCTAATATAATAGCCAACTCATATTGAGCACCTAGTGTTTGTCGGGCACCCTGTGGAGTGCTTTCCAAGCATTACCCGCCCCCCCCCCCCGCAACCCCTGGGAGGTGCATGTGATCCTCATCCTCCCTTTACAGAGAGGACAACGGGGTTTCCAAGTTCTCATATCTAGTCAGGGCTGTGTGTGGACCTGCCTCTGGGCTCCGCAGGTTTACAGACTTTGCAAACTTTACTGTATGCTTGGTGTACAGACTGGGGCCCGAGTTCTGGCTCCTGGCACCACCTACCCTCCAGCTATTCCTCTTACTTCAGACGCCCACTTTTAATCCATGCCTTGTCTCCATGCAAACCAACCCAGACTTAGTAGCAGCACTAAAGGTTATGGGGGAAAAGGCCACCTGAACACCCCCTTTGGGATAACCTCCCCGGAGCCCGGCCCCATCCCAGATCTCTCTGCTTACTTCCTGATGCTCACTCTGTCTCCAAGGAGAGGTAGAACAGCACTCCACGCCCTTCCCATAAATAACTCTAGTATTCCTTGACAGTTGCTCAGAGATCTACCTTTTTAGCCTTCTTATTTCTCTCAAAAGAACTCCCAGTTTCTTCAACTTCATAGGGATGTTTTCCCAGCCCATATTTTGGAATAAGCTGAATCATAGGAGGAGAGCCCCAAGACAGAGAGGGTCAAAGAGAGCAGAGATTTTGGTAAATATGCTTAGAAGTTGGCTAGGTTAACCAAAGGGCTCGTATTCACCCTCCCAGGGGTGATCTGTGAGGGGGAGGGCACTCGAGGTGGGGTGTCAGCCCAGAGGGTAGATTAGGAGGATGCTTCTCCAGCCTCTGGGATCAGGGGTCAGAGGACTCAAAACCTTAATGTCAAATTTCAACACCCTGTTGAAGGTATGCTGCACTCTAGGCGGTACCTCTTGGGGTGGGGGAGGGTCATAGGGAACAGCACCCCAAGCTGAAAGACAGGCTTGCTTTTCTGGGCCTCTCCAGTTCAGGGGATCAAACCCGACCGTAAGCCTGGATGACAACTTTATGCCAGGGTCCAGGTCTCCTGCAGAACCAGTAGCCTCCTGAGCTATGATTCCTATTTAATTACAAAGGACGGAAGGGTCAGGAAAAACATGGTCCAGAGCAGAAGCAAATTAACTGTGAAGCAAGCAAAGCGTGAACTTCCAGGCCTGTTACTGGCATGGGCACTTCCTGCTCTAGACAGATATGCACTTCTCTACTCAAGCTTTTATAGTATTTTCAACTGTGTAAGCGGAAGCCCTCACACAGCCTGGAGCTCCCCCGGCCCAGCGGACTCACCGTTGTGTATAATCTCCCTTTACTGTTCATGGCAACGAAGAGGGCACTTTTCACTCCAAAGAGACTCACCACACCCCGCTCCACTGTGGAAATCTCCAGCAGGCCTGACAAAGAAATGGGGGGGCACGTTACCCAAGGCTTGTGCAGAGCAGAGTGGGACATCGATCTAGAGATGACGCCACAAGGGCATCTAAGCCCTTCCCTTGCTCCTAGAAAGCCAGACCCTTATCACCTCTATCCCTGATCTCACTTTGTACTCGGCCAGTCCTGCCACCATACTGTCAAAGATCCAGTTCTGCAAGGGGGGGGGAGGGGGCTCTGACACCAGAGCCAAAGCTTACAGCATAGCTACAGATTAGCTTTCACTGACTTAACCACATGAGGTCTTTGCCTGGGGTAGAAAAATGAATGTTGATTAGTTTTTTAATAAAGTAGATACTCCACATGTTTCAACAAATCTCAGCTTATCTGAACTTGCAAACATTGCAGCCACACGGAAGCTGATGGCTTGCTTGGATCCTGCAGCCCCCGTCCCCTCTTGGATGGGGGAGTCTATCTATGCAGCACCCCATCAACTTGTAGGACAAGGAGCCTGGGGACAGAGAGGGCAGGTTGGAATAAAAAAGAAAGATGTGCTTCAACAGGAAATTTTGCAAATCACTTGCCTTTCCTTCTCAAAGAGGGAATCTAAGTAAAAATCAGCTTGGGTCTAATCTGGTCCTAGTCCCTTCGCTTACTCTCACCACCCTTGCCTTATGGCTTCCCGGCTGATGGTTCCGGTGGTCTTAAATGGCCACCGACGTGCCTGTAATGCTGAAGTAATTAGTGCCACCTGGGCTCTGTGGGGTGATGGCAAAGGACACCAGAATGCTTGGACCTCAGCGTAGTAAACCTGCAACTAGGCACGGTCCAAGTGAGTCTGGGGGAGGTGGCCATGCTTATGAGCATCCAAGTAGGGAATAACACTTCTCTCCCCTTTATAATAGGACCCCATGCACCAGAGCAAGTCCCCATCATCTTTTAGCCCTGCTTGAACCCAAGCCCCCAGCTTCCCAACTGCTGCAGCTGGCACTCACTGTAGGGGTTCTCCTCGTGGGTCCCGCTGATCCGGCCGTCGGGGGGCACCTGGAGGTGAAAGCCGATGCCCACGTTGCAGTAGAGCCTCCTCTGCCGCTTGATCCCCACCAAATAGCCACTCTCCCAATTCACCCCAGCAATCTCTCCAGCTAGCCCAGCTCGAGACCTTGACAGCAGGGTGCCCCAGCCCCTGGAGTCCAGCAGCGTGCTGTTGGTGCGGGTGCCTGCAGGTGAGGGCACCACCATGCCCACTAGGACGCCTAGGAAGACGAGAGCCCACAGCGTGCCCTGAAGACGTCCTGCTCCCCGGGACATAGTGATGAACAGCCTCTGTCCCAGGGCCATCCACCTTGCCTCTCAGGCACGTGGTCAGAATTAATGGCCCTAAAAATACCGCCCTTCTTGTTTTTCTCCCCTCAGCATGGCGGCAGGGGCTTATTTTTGGAAGGCAGATGAAGGCTGCTGACATGAAACCAAAGCCTGCTTTGGGCACTCGGGTTGGGAGCAGAGGGACCCAGGCTGAGCCGTGGCTGGTAGGGACCATGGCTTGGGGACGGTGTCTAGCTCGTCCGCTTGCTCCGTCTCGAGTTGATTATATTTGATTTGACCTATCTTTATAGTTCAGCAGCCTGGCCCTCCCCTCCACCCATCATCACCCTGACGTCAACTGGACCAGCTCACTTATCCAGGGCTGTAACATTAACCTGCTCCTGGGCCTGGCTGCCTCCCCAGACCCCCATCACCCTCCCCACCCCAGGGATTCTGGGAGCCACTGTCATTCCAGCTATGAGGCAGGAATGAAGTGAGCAGGGAGCATCTCTGAGGGAGGGAGGATTTGGCTGGGGGCCCAGGGGAAGAGGGAGGCAAGAGGCCACCCAGAACCCAAACTGGGCAAAAGTTCTTGGCCTGGCAGTGCTGCTGGCTTCCTTATTTAGAGGGCAAAGGGTAAAGACAGGGATAGGGAAAGCTTGGTGGCAGGTGATGACTGTGGCCTTTAAGCTACCCTGGAGACTTTTTCATGGAAAGAGCTCATGGTAGCTCACGAGAAGGTAAGCTTGGGGGACACTGCAAGACTGAGCCCTTTTAACAGGAGAGAACAGAGAATTGGTGGTTGGGGGTGCGGAGGTGGTCCAAGGAGCTTTAGGATTGTCGAGGAAGAGAGGGCTAGGGTCAGACTTCTGCTTGCTGTTCTGGCCATGGCATTCACCAACCAATGAGGGGGGAGTCATGCTGGCCCTTGACATAGCCCACTGGCCATTTTCCTACTTGGGCTCATCCTTAGTATCTGACTGATAGTATTCCTATTTTATAGAGACAAAAGCTAAGGTATAGAAAACTTAAGTGACTGGTCTGAGTTACCATAGCTAACAAGTGACCCATCCAAAGCCTTTGCTTTTACCCCAGGACCCCCGCCCCCCGTTCCCCGGCCCCGCCACATGATTGCCTATAGTAGAAGATAGATGACCAGGCTGGCCCACAGATCTATTGAGCTCATTCATCATAGGATTATTTCAATAACACAAAATGACTCACTTCCCCACACAGGCTGGAGGTTACAGGCAGCCTGGAGAAGGCTCCTAGGAGGAGTCCCTCTGCTTAGGGACTCTTCTGAGACATCATTCCCTCCCCTCTGCTTCCAAGCCTCCTGCCCTGGTCTGGGTCAAGCCTTTGGTCTGTACTTCTACCTGCCTTCTGCCTTTCTGCCCTGTTCATTTGGACTGATGCTTTGGTTAGAATTTCTGTGAGGCCATGCATCTTAGTTTTGCCCTTGATATGTTCTCTCAGATCCCCTGAAGCCCTGACTTCTTCTGCCATTATCCTCTGCTGGTAAAATGAATGGGGAGGGACACATGTACTTCTGCTTAGGATTCCCTCATCATCAGCCCTCCCCCCACCCTGCCGCTTCCCAACCATCTTGCCCCTCCCTGGCACCTCCACTGCCTTATGTCCAGCCTTACCATCACCAGCAACCTGGTTTCCCAAAACAATGAATGGCACCTGTGGGCACAGATTGAGTCTACTGTGTAGGTCTCTGTTGGAAAATCGTACAAAAAAATCTCTGCAAAGTAGGAGAATCATGAATAATCTAAAGACACAAAAATGACCTTCACTTGATTTCATATATTTAAGTTTTCATGTATGCAAGAGCAGTGAAGAAGCCCTTTGAATTATGTTCAGTTTGGAATATTGTATTAATTATGCTTGTTGTGCTGACATAGGGAAGAGGCATCCCAGAAGCATGCTGGATGGTAAGAAGTCAGTCTGAAATGAACACTTGCCTTGGATACTTGGAGAGGTGCTCATCATCATCACTGTGGGATGATTCTTGGGACCCATCCACTTTGGGACTGCCTCAGAGGAGAGATTGAACTATAACAAGATCCATACGAGACATCAGTAAAAATGGTAAATCTGTTTAGATTCACCTCATCCCAGATTCTTTTGTGTGCAGAGATTGTGGGTGGTGTCTTATAAGGCAATGGGCTTTTGAATGGAGGACACCTGAATTTGAATCCCGACTCCACTATTTATGAACTGTGTGACCTTGCAAAAATTTTGAACCTCTCTGAGCCTCATTATTTTCATCTGCAAAATGAGATCGTTATTTCATAAGACTGTGATAGAAATTAGCAATAATATATGCAAATGGCCCTGTGCAAAGCACTCTATAGCTCTCCCCCGGTCCTTTATCTTAAACACTTTGAAAATCTCTCACCCAGTTAAGGGAGGACAAGCCCAAAGTGAGAAGGACCCTCTCCCATCTCAAGGGGTGGGAGAGAGACATGTGTGCTTCCAGTTCTTAATTCCTGGCCACCAGAGCATATGTGGTGATGGCTGCAAACATATGCCGAAGCAGGCAGTCTAGATTCCTAAAATATTCTGAAAACCAGTAATAGCCCTGGTATCGTCCCTGTTAAATATAAAACTTAAGTAATTCATTCTATTAAAAAGCCTGAGTCTTATTTTTATCGGGTGATGTGATGAGGCCCTGTTCTAAATGCGCCTCCTGGGTCTGTCTCTATAGCAACTCCACTGTGCTCATATATCCATATATTTCTCCTGAAGGCTAATTAAGTTGACAACTGCTAGGGCTTCTTGGTTTACCAGATTTGCACTTGACCCTTCTCTTGGGGCTTAGGGACCCCTATGGATGTGAAGTGATAGAGAAAAGAGTAACAGGTGGAGGAGGCCTCTCTGTGGACCCCTCTTTCAAATAGTTGCCCAGCAGCCTTTGGGGTTGTCAATCACTCTCTTTGGATGAGCCAAGAGTTGGTGGAGGTGAGTGGGAAACAGTGTGAATGTCTGTCTCCTTCCGTGACAGGGTCTTTGTCCCTGAGTGGGGTACCACCCAGTATAGATCGGTCGAATTTGGCACATTACCTACACAGTGGAACCACTTCTGTAATACCAAGCAGGTGGCTTTCTAGGACTCTTATTTATTACATAATAAAGCTCAAGCACCTCAGAGTGACCGTAAAGGAAAGCACATAAAACTCATCTTGACTGTGAAAAGCTGTGTTTATTTGTATTTTTCACATTGGTTTTAAAAAAGTAGTACTTGCCTTTTTCTATAGATAATTTGGAAAATACAGAAAACTGTAAGGTAGAAAATAAAATAACCATTTGTGTTTAGTGTCTTTATATCTTCTGTCTCAGCTTTCTTTGAGCTCCTTTGGCACAGGAGTCTGGCCGCCTCCCTTTGCCTCCCCCTTCCTCTTGCTCAGACAGGCACCTGTGTGCCTACGTCCGGTGTTTCAGGGTCGGGTTTGCTTGGCAGATTTGATGGGTATGACGTGGGCATGTGCAGAGGGGAGGGATTAAGAAGAACCCCTGCCCTCGAGCTGAGCAAAAGAGGTACTGAGGGCTCATAAAACTTGCTACAAGTGGGAGGATTCAAGAGAGAAACTTTGACCAGAACAAAGGTTCTGCCGGGAGAAGTCAGGTGCTGTCTTGCTAGCTGGTCTGTGGACGAATCCATACTTTGTTCTTTCCTAGTGGAACTCAACTCCTCCAGGTCTCAGCCGTGTAAGTGGGACTCCATTAGCGTCATGATCCAAATTTCCCCAGTTTTTGGCTCTACCAGCTCATGTGGAGGGATCTCACCCCACTATAAATTGTCCCCAAGTTATTTGTGGAGTTCCCAGAGCATGTCTCACATATGTTTGTGAGTACGTGACTGCTCCTGCCTGGGATCACTGCAGGGCATCTGTGTGGACCATCCTGTCCATCAGCCTGCCGCCTCCCCCTGGCAGCCATGCATATGACATTTCTCGCCACAACTCATGACCTGAAGACCTCAAGGACTGAAAGCTGCTTTGTGTTCTGTTTCAAAGAAGGAACGCGTATCTCAGGCCCTTCCTCATAGTTATACTTGTTAAAGGAATGTCTGACCGGTACTACTTGTCCCCTGGTGATTTATTCATTGGGATTTTATTTTCAGATTCCCTGCCTGTAGCATATATTCAGTCTTTGTTCATGGGGCAAGCTCATCAGGTTCGGTTCCCTTTTCCTTCAGGATGGAGGCTCCTCAGCCCTCAAGCAAATAGACTTCCACTGGGGCCAGCCCACCGGTTGTCCACATGTGTCTGAATCCCAACCTAAGTTCACATGGAACACCGTGCTCCACTCCCTGCAGCCCCTCCTTGGGGAGGGAAGGTGGCCTGGACACTCAGCTTTGTGGCCTGGTTGTTAAGGATTGGCAGAGTGTGCTGGGAGGAGGGCATGTCCTCCCCTCCACCCCAGAAATCATCTTCTGGATCTATCCTTCAATCTGAGCACCCATCTTCCTGTGGCTGTTTGTCTTCCTGCCTCCCGGCTCTGTCATTCTTCTCTGTCTCCCCTGCTCTCTCCCCCTACTCTCTCCCCATCCTCTCCCCTTACTATCCTCTACCATATGTACAAACCTAGAGGGCTAGCCAACTGCCAAGGAGGCAGCACCTCAGGGTTGATGACTTACCACCATGGCAGCACATCTCAGCTGAATTTGCAAAGGGGCAGAGGAGTCAGATAACTTTCTGGAGCCTCAGAACATAAGGGATTTTGGCTCTGCTCAGACTTTTGCGGTTTCTCAGATTTGCCTTTCATGATCATCATCTAATAATACCTACTGCGTGCTGAGGAGGGCATGCACCCTGCCAGCCACCATGCAGAGTTATGTAAAAGACTCAGCCCTTAGTGGCAGGCTCCCCAGTGTGGCACGACAGGCCCATGGTGTCCTGACCTCTGTTGGCCTCTCCAGCTCTGGAGATTTTTGCTTCAGGAACCCCACATGGCCTGTTGTTCTTAGGCACACTTTGTGTTGCTTCTGCCTCCCTGTCTTTGCTCTAACTGTCCTCTTTTCCTGGCAAATTGCTTCCCATCTTTAAGGACTCAGCTTAAATGTCACCTCCGGAAGCAATCCCCGGCAACCTTCCACCTGTCTCTAAGTCTCTAAGCTGAACTTGGTGCCCCCATCTCCACTGCCCGCCCCATCCTCGCCTCATTAGTGCTTTGCACATATCTTTATCACTGCCCTTACCAGGTTATATTATAATAATTTGACTAGGTATCACTCTGAGAGTGGGATCCTTGAGGC